TGATTTAACAAGCAGGTTGTCAGTCTAGATTTTATGCGCAGATGGAGAAAAAGCGCAGAATTTTTGTAATGAGATGAAAAGCAGAAATAATAAGAAATAATAAGAAAAGATGAAATGAAAGCCTGCTCACAACCCCGCTCAGCCTTGCGAACTGGGTATGGTGCATTAAGAACCCGGTTCAACACTCGAGCAAGCGCTCTCCACTCAAGGTGTTCACAGCAACTGATAGGAACTCATATGGGGAAATTATAGAAAAGAAATAATAAGATAAAGAGAATAAATTTCAACGCACCTCAATAAACGGAGCCCCACATACAGTACCTCAGAAAAGTGGATCTTCCGACCAGTGTTTTTGTTGACGTCGCAACCAGATGATGTAGCTGCTTCGCAGAGATGTCTTACTGCACAAATTACAAATAAATTTTATTCTTCGATTAGAAAACCCAAGCGCTTTCAGAGCCCTCCGAAGAGAGTCCGGGATGAAACCACGCACACCTACCTCAACCGAAAAAGAAACGACCTGCCACCCGTTTGCTCGGCATTGATCGGCCAGATCCGCATACCGCCTGTCCTTCCGCGAGTTACTGACACTGAATCTGTCCTCAGCACAAACTGTCAACTCCATCCAGAATACAATCCTACGACTCGTAGAGTACAGAACTATATCTGGTCTTAGGGTGGTAAGTGCAACACAGCTAGGGAAAGAAATCTTTGCACTAACTGAGTCGACAAGAAGTTGAGAGAGAGAGAGAGAGAGAGAGAGAGAGAGAGAGAGAGAGAGAGAGAGAGAGAGAGAGAGAGAGAGAAAGTGTAAGTGCTGACTATTCCAGGATATAAACTACAACAGGTTCTACTGCACAAAAAAGTTCAAATACCCTGGATAGAAAAAAATCAAACAGTAGACCCAGGTGCTCGAAGTCCGTACACTTTTACAGTGTGTGTTTGTCGAGCTGAAACTCACACTAGCAATGATCACTTGCCAGAATCCTGCTCGTGGATGGAAGGTATCTTGTCCAAGTTTGTTCTGAGGCCAGGCTCGATTGAACCAGGCCATCTTTCGATCCGATCTGTTTCTTTGGAGTTCGCTGATTTCTCATATCAAATTTTGGTGTCGCAGAGGGTACTCTAAGTCCGACTGATCAGGGGTGACTCGAAATACACACATATTTCTGCTAATTGCTAACTTGCAATCCCTCGGTTACGACGAAAGCACCGAAGGGATATGTTTGGCATGTGCCTCCACCAGTATTTCTTGCAAAAGCGTAGTTTGTTGCCGAAATGCAAGCTGTTTTTAGTCGGCTCAGAGAAGAAGCAGCTGCGCTGTGAAAACCGCGGGAAAACAGTGGTGGAGATGCCAGGAGTGTCAACCTTTCTGCAAAGATTGGTGGTTCTCTGTAAATTCTTCTCCTCCGGCCATTCTCAGCTCTAAGCTGGCTCTTGATGATTGAGTGAAGGTCTGTTTGACGCTGTGTCCGTTCGAAATCGGTCTTGGCAAAGTATATTTTTGCATGAAATGTAACCCAATTTGTATTTCGTATGGACACTCGAAAACCCACTCACGTGGTATGGGACTTCTGCTTATCGTAGATCCCTGAAAATTGCTACGCGAGGAGAACATACCACACTGTCCGCTTCATAAAATATTTGAGTCGAATAAAATAACAGAACATGAAATTATGGGCGTACGAACTTAGGATACCATGTACGGACTTCGAGCACCTGGGTCTACTCCACACCAGGAAACAGGAACCGCTCCTCCAAGACCGACAGTTCAAGTCCAAGATATCAAAGGGAATTATGCCTGATACTGTGCTATTTACTACTTCACAACGTACATGCCAGGCATGCTTTGTTTTAAAAGTTATCAAATGTGACACCCCCACCCCTACACACATTCACACATATACACACGACAGCCACTGGATATAAATCTCCACCTTACAAAGTTCCCATGGTCTCATACCTTCTCAATGAGATCAATGCAAGGCTGCAGATCCAATCCAAAGTCAATGAAGTTCCACTCAATACCCTCCAAATGCTACTCTTCCTGAGAACACACAAGCAAAAACAGGAAAAGAGGAAAAGGTGTAAAGCATTAGAGATAACTCATTGGTAGTGTCCCTAGAACAAAAGTGGATGAGCGCCAACCAACAACTGTACACACACTCACAACGGCATAACCACTCGGTATCAATAATTATTTACAAAACAGCAAGAATGTGTGAAGCCACAATGCTAGGCAGCATGTACACATAAGAGAAAACGTGGAACGTTCAAATAGTACAGGGCGTGCAGTGGGCGTGCAGTGTGCGTGCAGGTTTGCCGGTGTGGACACGTTGCAGTGCAATCAAATTGTGCCATAAGTGGAATGAGTGTACGGAGGACAGTACACCTTGATCTGGACAAAATCTCTGCGTGGATCAGTGTGATTCCTGAGGCATACACAGAGATAAGCATGGTCTCTCTCTTTCTTTCTCTCTTTGTCACTGCCTCTGCCTCTGTCTCTGTCTCTCTGTCTCTCTGTGTCTCTCTGTGTCTCTCTCTCTCTGTGTCTCTCTCACTCTTTCTCTCCATGGCCAGCAATCGAGGACATCTGAGAGTTGTAATTTTTGTACTCCTCCGAGGTGTGATTTTTGGCGTGCTGGGCCAAGCACAAGGAAGCCATCTGCAAAAAAACTGCAGAAAATGGTTGTTGTTTGATCCTTTGGTGTAATCTTTGTTTCTAGTCGAAGCTAGTTGCTGTTTGGAGCAGAAACGCTGAAATTGACTATTTTCTGCATGTACTCATACATGTACTCATGTACTCAGGCATGCAGTCTCACTCGTATTTTAGCTCTTTTTCTGGAATGGATGCTGCTCTGCGCCCCTTGGTGAACATTTCCTGTGCTCGTGGAGCAGCTGAAAAGGACCACTGGTATGTCTGGTTCCTGGTTTGAAAGTGGAGAGTCGACTTTTGTGCCTTGAAAAAGGAGTAGAGAGCGATAGAGGTACGTCTGTTGCTTATTTTTGAGTGCTCCTCGTACATTTTTGATCGTGATAGAAATTCTCAGACCAAAGTCAGACCAAAGTCAGCGCGATGATGGTCGTACAGTTTTCTTGTGGATTTTTTAGTTGTTTCATCTCGTATCTATGTCAGTATTGTGATGGTGAAGTGGAGAGGGTGATTTTCTTCCTCTAGGCTTCGTTCGGCCGACTTTGCTTCGTCCTCGTTGAAAAGTGATCCTGAAAAAAAGGTCGATTCGAAAAATTATGTTGATTTTCAATGTACGTGATGACATGCGATTGCTGGCTATGTCTACTAACCTGTTCCAGAATGAACATGGTATGGTTGAAAAGCTGCTGCAGCTTCTCGTTCGTGAAGTTGATACATATTTGCTCAAAGGAGTCCACCTGTGCAGGAAAGATCAATATTGACACGTACGCGCACGTACATTTACACACATACACACACACATACACACACACACGCACACATACACACAGACACACACAGCGACTTTGTTGATAACTATAAGAAGGTGGTTTGATCGCCACACTGCAGCTCACGCTTGTTAGTGAAGTGTGAAAACAAACCGGCGACTAAAGCGTGAGCGCGAGGGTAGCAACCTTGTCACGAGCATTGGTACATGAAACCCCCCAGCATGCAGTGCAATGCAATGCCCGTTGTGTCCAACAGGTTTGTATACACTCTGTACAGACTACACCCTTGTTCAGCTGTCCATAGGAAAGAGTTTTACAAATCCGTTGATTCCCAAACCTGCTGAGAGTGCTCAATGGCATTAACAGAGCTTAGAAAATAGCGAGAAATATGAATATATACTATACTACTACTATTACTAAGCTTGGTATGCGGGTGTGACGTGCTGCTGCTCATCAGATTCGGTCCATGCGACTCTCGTGTTATTAGTTTTGTTATTTTGTCTGCCTTTTTTGAATTCGTTAACCAAACGGACTCAACTATCCAGTGATCAGGTACTGGTGTGGTGGGGCGAGGTTTTGTTGGTGATGCTGCTGTCAGTGGTGGCGGCGTGCATGTGCTCGTGCTTGCGGGCGATGGCCCGCGTTTTCTCCCATGCCGCAAGTCTGTCTTGCGTTTGTGTTTTGCATTTGGACTTCCTGCCAGGCTTGGAAGGCTTGCATTTAAAACAGTTTGTCCCACTGTGTGGCTCCCAGTCTTTGAGCGGTGGAGCTCCAGAGAATTTTGGGCCCCTGGCAGTAGCAGTGCATTCCATGGCCAATTTGCAATTGTGGCAAAAATGCTCAGGGTGTATTCGGTTTCATCCACATTGAGATGAAAGTTAACACTGCCAAGATGGATTCAGTATGATCTGCCACACGATACTTCGTCCGTCCACTCCCTGACGCGAATTTCTCCCCTCCAATACGACAACAGGATGCTAACATGAGCCTCCATTTCTGAACAAAATAACGTCTCTAAAATGGCCACGAAAAGCTACAGTGATGCACGTCAAGCTTAGGAATACACGAAATCGAAAGGCTAGGACATCGAGGTATACTAGAAAATTGCCTGCGAGGTGGAGAAAATTCGCTGACGAGTTTGGCGAGCCCTTGAAATCGAGCGACGATCCAAAAATAATTGCACCCACGTCGAGAAAGAAACCATGCGTAGCGCGTGGGTAACCCAAGAAGATCGCTCGAGCGGCGGCACAGTCGAAGGCAAGGCCAGTCCAAGCTCTAAACTCTATCGAATGACCTGGCAAACACCCATGGTTTCGGTTGACCTTGCCCGTTTGAGATGGAAGTCGAGCGAAATTGCAAACATACGACTAGGCCAGGTCGCGTAAAAATGAAAAAGATTGAAATTTGGCCGCCATATTGAATGAACGCGCGTCGCATGCATGGGACAGCCGTGGGTAGAGGCGACGGTTTCAAATAGGACATAGGTTGCAAACCGGAACGGACTCAATATTCACTTTCTCTCTTCGTATTTTGATTAGAAAACATATGTCACAGTGAGACTACAATGTGTTATACTCCCAGCCAAAATTTCATGGCTCTGCGATGACCAGAAGCGCAATACCAAGCAGGTGAGTTTTTGACTTGTTACCTCGCAATGCGACTCGAGTTTTACGACTTTCGAAAAATCAACTTCTTGTCGCAGGTAAACAGCGGCTCACCTCTCGCCAATAAAGCACCGCATACCAATCAAAACTAATGGAAGCACACACAAGGCTTATTGTTAATCTGTACTGGCCGTCGTGGAGCGATAGCAATTACCTAATTTCAGAACTCAGAGTGAATTTGACGGGCACTCCAAAACCTTTCCGGTTTGGAGCCACCTCTGATTTGAAGCGAAAAATCGGGAAACTTGGAGGCAATGGGTCAACACAAAGCAGTGGCTAAGTTCGATTGACTCTGGCCTCAGAGCAAACTTCAACATGCCAGTTTCCTTCCACAAACATATTTCGAGTGGACAATCAACGCTGATGATCGGTTTGGGTCTATACAAATTTGGCTGTCAAGCCATTCCAGTATTTAACCGTCGCCTCTAACGCGTAAGGAGACTATAGGTCTGTGGGGACTGCCCTAGAGAAATATGAATAAATACTATACTACTTTATGCTGACCTTTCATACAAACTTCCAGTCAACTGCCCCATCATGCAGGTGGTTTATATTGGGCATATAAACCTCATACTTCATACAAACCCCATATAGACCACCAGCATGCAAACTCCTTTTTAGAAACAGGAAGAAGTTGACTGTCAGTTTGTATGAAGGTCAGCATAAGTATAATACATCCCACTAGTGGTAGTATGTGGGTTTATATTTCACGTACAAGCGTACTGTTGGGTTTTATATACATACTGTCGCATCGCAGTTTGCTACGCAATTCTTCTGAGGTGCAAAGCAACTTCAGAAATGTGTCGCAGATAACTGCGATGCATGTTGATTTTTCACTGCACCCAATGATGTACAGTGTGCATTTCAGGTGTGTCTCTTAGGGATGAGATTGATGCGCAAAACTAGACTTCGAAAGTGCTTATCTACGCATTTTGGCACCAGATTAGGTTTGCGACTACTGTAGCTAGTGACTACACCCAATTTCCAAAACTTGCTCCGATCGCTTCGATTTTGGTCTCATTCGATTCTCCCAGGCGTAGTACATAGAAAATCTGCAAGTATTATTCAAATCGGCGCAGCCATTCTTGAGTTATTGTGATTTGAAGTGCGCCAAGTAAAGGTTAGTTGGACTTTTGCTGGAAACAGAAATGAATGGGGGTGATGGGAGAATCGAGAACGACCGCACAGTCAGTGCATGCAGTACAGTGTACAGATACAGTGCACACGCCTCGTCACTCGAACTGCGCGTACGATACTTTGGTATGCTGGCGCGGACAAATTCGCTCGTAGAGGAAGACGAAAGCGTCTCACCACCTTGTAATTTCACATGGCCAGTGGTTTTTCGACGCTGAAGACGATGGAATAGTCCGCGACGCTGCGACCCGACAAGAACAACCCGAAAATCATACCCTGAAAAAGCGCTGAGCGCAGAGCTCATAGCAAAGGTACTATGCAAAAATTGAAAGTAAAATATTCCCTGACCCATATAGGGCAGAGCCTGTAATACCATTAACTTTCGTACTGCACATTGTGTTTGGTGACAAGCAGCGCGCGGTGGATCAATATCAAACAAAGAAGTGGGTCACGATGAGTACTTACTGGGGATAATTGCGCGGCTTTGTCCCGGTCTCTCTGCATAGAACGAGCGCTCGGAACAGAATGCTGTCGAAGGCAAACCCATTGGCCGGCAAGACAGCAATGATTATGTACACAGGTTAGTGGTCGTCGAGCTGTGACTCCGTGCCAAAATCCGTCCACGTCCGCTACGGAATGGCGAATGCCGTTCGACCGAGTACCCACCGCTACACCACAGTGCTCGTACTTCGGCAAAATGTCCTTTCCACCATTCACGACGAAATGTTTCGGCATCTGGCTCGCGGAAGAAAGACATACTAGTAGTAGTAGTAGTAGTGCGAAGCTCACAAGCACTCAGTCTCACAGCCCCGTTCACACTGCACTTACATCAGGTGCTCGCTGAATGCAGTGAAAACAGGGAAGAATAAACAGTCTAACTGTTGCTTGAGCATCATCGCTAACGACTATTCTAGCTTCCTTATTTTCTGACAAAAATAAACTTACTTCAATGTGAGAAAAGCAGGCACAACAAATAATAATTTATTTGTTGTGCCTGTCATTTTGTTGTGCCTGTCACCAAGTCACGTGACGGGTATCACTACACTTGTAAGCAGGGAGTCGTAAAAGCCCGGGAGAGGACACGGCACACATTCCCAGAAAACATCTTTGCCTCGCGCTGCCGGGGAACGCTGCCAGGGAACGGTGTTGCGAGGCAAGGACATTATTATTTTCGAAAATTGTGATGTCTTCTTGAAATACTAATTGGGACATTCTCCGATTTCTCTTAGAGCACGGAGACGATTGCTCCGTCGAGTCTTCTGATCTCTATTTTCATCCTCAATTCTTCCAGCTGCTTCACTCATTCTCTCTCAGTTTATCGAAGTTAATTTATTCCGAGGCGATGGAAATGCAAGATAAATCCCTAATTGTACTTCAATTATATTTGCGTTGGGGTGAACGAAATGAGATTTGTGGAAAATGACGCCACTTCCCGTGTTAGCCGCTGGTCGTATCATACAGCCCATATTCCATTGCAGGTGATGGGCGAACGTTCGTGTTGAGATCCGCTGAGCTTCCTCGTACTCGTGGAGTTGAATTTGTGGCAGAATTGCACTGAATTGCAGTCAAGTGGTTGTGAATGAAACGAGATTTGTGGAAAATGACGCCACTTCCCGTGTTAGCCGCTGGTCGTATCATACAGCCCATATTCCATTGCAGTTGATGGGTGAAAGTTCTTGTGGAGATCCGCTGAGCTTCCTCGTACTCGTGGAGTTGAATTTGTGGCAGAAATTGCACTGAAATTGCAGCCACATGGTTGTGAATGAAACGAGATTTGTGGAAAATGAAGCCACTTCCCGTGTTAGCCGCTGGTCGTATCATACAGCCCATATTCCATTGCAGGTGATGGGCGAAAGTTCTTGTGGAGATCCGCTGAGCTTCCTCGTACTCGTGGAGTTATGAATTTGTGTCAGAAATTGCACTGAAATTGCAGTCGAGTGGACTTCTGTGCGTGTGTTGTGAGTGAATCGCAACGGCTCCCTTCCTTCAGCATCGTCAAAACGCAACATAGAGCATTATTACGCACTCGTTCCATGATTCATGATATTGCCTGGATTCTTTTAAAAACAATCAATGTGTGTTCCCTATCTATCTACATTGTACATGGTTGCAGGTCGTTATTTATAAATCTTGATAATTTCAACACTTTTCTACTCGTATACTGAGTACGCGGTGACTTTAGCCGTTTAGGAAATGGAAGGCTCAGCCTCCAGGTTGGCCAGAAAGGTTCTCAGTGAATCTAACCGAAGTCTTGGCGAGTGTACAAAAGGTAAACCTATCATTTGTACTTCATAACGGAATTGTGCACAAAATGCGCACACACACACGCACGCGCACACACAAACACTGTACAAACACACACAAAAGTACAAGCACATGTGCACATACACACGCCTCCCCCCCCCCCCCTCCACACACACACACCCTACCCCCCACCCCTGTACCATGTGTACTGAGTCTGACAGACAGACACACAATCATGTTTAAAAAACAGTTTATGCTTCCTTCGCCACCAGTTTCGGATATGGTGTCAACAACGAGTTGTAAAATATTGGTATTTTAGGACTCCCTGCCCTGAAGACGAGCACAGCGCCGTGGATCGAGCAGATCCGGCCGCGCCGGCCTAGCGTGCTTCACTTTCTGGCCGAGGCAAACATCGTCCGCGTGCGCGCATCCCGTGTCCTCTCCCGGGCTTTTACGACTCCCTGGTTCTAACTATTCTTACGCAGTTACCTGGTTACCATGGTTACGGTCATGATCTGATGATAGCAGGAGTACACGTCATGTACTGAAACAGACACTGTAGATCTACATGATTATTATTATTATTATTATTATCAAATTTTTGATAGGGCAATAGTAATTTCATCCTGCATTCAGTCATGTCACATGATGTGTATTTTATTACATATTATCAAGAGTATAATTACCGTATTATCTCAATTATAAGCACGGTCCTTTATTTTTTCAATGTACCTCCGCCCCGTGCTATTAATAGAGACGTTCCTTTATTGGAGACTGTTCCATTATTATTTCAACCTCATTTCAGAGGCATGTTGCCGTGCAAAATTCATGTCAGACACACACATTTCAGGGATTTTTCGCCGGTACAGATAATGAATTTACACAGTGTGCTTATAATGGAGACTGAGCACTTTATTTTTTGAATGCCGCCCCAAGGTGTTCTATTATTGGAGACGTGCTATTATTGAAGACTGTGCTTATATTAGAGATAATACGGTATAACCCCCCTGGGGGGGGGGGGGTATAATTATACTCTTGATATTATGACTGTAACAAAATACACATGACTGAATGTTAGAATTATTATTATTATTATTACTTGCATGTACGCGTTGGAGTCAACCATGCAAGCATGATCCACAACTTCGCTTATGCTGAACATGATAAACAGGACTATGACAGGGGAAAGAAATTGAGCTAGAACGATGATAATTATAATGATATAATTATCATATACAATATACCAGCCTGCTATGTCGGATACCACCAACCATGCATCGACCAGGCGCCAGGCGCGAACTGATGGTGGTGGTGATGAGAAGGAGAGCTCTGTGCCAGAACTTTGCAGCCTAGAGAGCGTGTGTGGGCAGGCGTGTTTTTACTAGGGCTGAAACGAACATAAATTTTGAGTATTCGAACGTTCTTGATGTAAAACGAACGAACGAACGAACATTCTCTAACATTCACCTCACACACGTGTGCTCGTGTACAACCCGGTATAAGCAAAACATACAGTGGAATTTTTGAATACATCGTTCATGACGCGTTCAAAAATTGCCCGCAGAATGGAAGCATTGGTCATTCAATATTGTTCAAATGTCTGGACAAGAAGAGAGACTCCCAAACAAATAAACACACAAACAAAATCAGCAAAAAAAGAACGGGCAGAGGGGCCCTGACTCCCAAAGAAATAATAAATAGCGAAACTTGAAGACCTCAACGGAGTGAAACAGAACCATTCCAACTTCAAGTGTCTGACTTAATATAGAGACTCCCAAACAGGCAAGTGTGCATAGAAAACAGCTAAAAGGAACGGTTAAAGGGCAAACAACACACGAACATGCACCGTTGCACTCAGTACCGTTCACACCAACCAGCAACCTGCAGACAACGCAGAGAAATTCACAAGAAGAACACAAAGAAAAGTTCAATTAATCAAAGTGGAAGGAGGAACACAGGCAACCAGAGAACAGTATGAGAAAAGAATACAACCGATCTACCTGTTACAGTGTAATACCAACAAACAAGGCAAGGCTCTACTTTACCTCACACGTTTGGAAGAGGTGGGGCCGAATCCTCCAGCTCCTCTTCCAAGACCACATCCAGGGCGACTGGCTCAGGCTCAGTGGAGAGTGGCAGGAGATCGGCTGGGACGTCCACCTGATTGGCTTGAAGGCTCCGGTTCTGCTGCAGGAAGATCAGGGCATCCACATTCTCTGCAGCGAGAGCAGAACGGAGCTTCGACACAATGACTATGTGCCCGGCGGCAGAGAAGACCCGTTCGCTGGGTACGGATGTAGCAGTCACGCACAATATCTGCCGTGCCACCTTCGCCAAGTACACAAAGCGCGACGCATTCTGCGCCTACCACACCAACGGATCTGCAGAGGATGGAAGAGCAGCCTCTGCAAGGAATCGCTCCACCTCTTGCTGAATGGCTACGGACGCTGACACTTCCGCATCATCAGCACCACCGAAGAACAAGTCGAGATCATTTGGGGGTATCCGCTTGGCTGCTGGCTCAATGACTTCCACTTCGCTTACCTCCAGCTCCGTGTGCAGAATGTGCTGACTGCACCGGCGGAGTAACTCGAGCTTCAAACCATCCCGAGCATCCGTCGATGGCAGGAAGGTCAGGGATTTGGAGCGCGGATCCAATGATGCTGCCTAACGAACGAATATTCGAATATTCGGTATATTCGTTTCACCCCTAGTTTTTACCGCCATATTGCCAGGTGTGTCTTTACCACCATATTCATCAACCATAAGTACAGCTGCAGTGGTGTCTTCAACTTCATTCTCCCGAGTCAAGCTCCGTATGAAGACATCCAAGAAGAAGATTGCCTGATGAGTCCTGCGGGGACGAAACGTAGATCTAGATATATATCTACGTCGCAATCGAGCGATGTCGTTGCTGTGTCATCTTCTATGTGCCATGCGCTACTTGATGTACCAGCCTGCTATGCGGATACCACCAACCATGCATCGACCAGGCGCCAGGCGCGAACTGATGGTGGTGGTGGTGAGAAGGAGAACTCTGTGCCAGAACTTTGCAGCCTAGAGAGCGTGTGTGGGCAGGCGTGTTTTTACCGCCATATTGCCAGGTGTGTCTTTACCACCATATTTATCAGACATCACTGCTAATAAGAGAATTTTTCATCCAGCAAATGCACGAAGAGTGAATAGCAACTGAATAAGGGGTCATCCGTAAATTCAAACTTTTTTCACCAAACGAATTAATTTAGTTTAGACCCAACCCCTTCCTCCCTCCCTCCCCCTCAAGACGTGAAAAATGTTGACATACATGCATATACAACAGCTATGTACATGAATCAATGTTTTTCTGAAACGAAATTGGTCAACCGGTTAAAGGGGAAGTTAAGGCAAAAATTAAAATTTCACCAGTTGTAGTCTTCGGGGTGCTGAGTCGAATGGTCGTGGTCCGAGGAAGCTGAGACGCTCCCTTCCTACTTGAATCCCAATCGAACTCGCGCACTTCCACCGAAACAGGGTGACTGCGCCCTACGAGATGGGGATTTGTATGCAAAATGTCACTAAAAGCGCCATT